CGTGTAGGACGTCCAAGGCGATGGGACTGTTCTGGATATTCATTTTGTTGATATGACATATCTTTCGGGATGTAGTGGAAGTGGAAGAAGTAGTTTGTATTGATAGTATAAGGACGAGCGGGAACTAAAGGATGTAATCGCTACAGAGTGGAATTATGCTGAGTGGTAAACCAGATATTGGAAATAGTGGGAATCGTGTACAGAAATGACATTGGGGTAACGCATACGTGCAGTACATATTATATATATTGCACAGGTGATTTTTCACTGGATCTAAACACATAAATCCAAGATCCCTGAATGTGCCTTCCAAATTGAACACAATAACACGTTGATATTGTATTTCGATTGTAACCCTTGCCGATCATCAATAAACGTCGACATTTGATTTGCTTCTGTCATTTGGCGTTCTTGGCAGCAGGTTCCCGAGACAGATTACGAATTGGAGAAATTTACGGAAGCAAATGTGTCATGTAATTAATGCGAATAAACGCATCTATATGTAATGAGAATTATGTTACTTTCGTTTGTCGCAATTATAGCAGCAACGTTTCGAGGTCGAATAATGTGCCAATTCTTAAGGAGGAAGTTGGCATATTCTATAGTGAATAAAAGTTACTTTAGGCAATTTGAGAATGTTAAGTCCGAGTAACTTCTCGTATTACGTTAAACCGAAAGCCACATCCGTTAAATTTATCGTTATAATTTTAACCTAACAACTCGTGGATCACAACTGGCTTTATTCGACAATAGTCGATCTTTGATAATTTTTTATAGTTTTCGTGAAATGGATCATTTAAATTGTCCAACTGTATTTGCAGAGCTTCTCCCTAACATTCGTTCACTAAACCTCTCCATCGGTCTTCCATCTCAAACAACTTCTTTCCAATTAGGCGTATATCCTCTTAAATTAACGTTCGCTTCTCCCAGCTTCTTTTCTTCTCTTGAATTGTCCCAAACAATTGAGACGGATGTAGAGCCTGCCCTTACTTCTGCAATTTCTTCTCTTGAAGTAAAACTGAAACTAAGGAATTATATCCGGCGTAAGCCGTTCCGGCGCGTAAGCGGTAACGAAGTTGTTCCACCGCTTACTGCCTGCGATCTTACCAATTTGCGGAACGTGCTATGCAGAAGTTGCGGATTGGTTATTGTTAGGGATGGGGCGCTTGAGAAAATAATGGATTTGCCTTCTGAGCATTGGGCTGAGCTTCTTGAGTGCTGGATGTGCCATCAGGAGGATTATAAACAGGCACAAGTAGAGGATTTTAATGCAAAGGAGACCGTTGGGCTTGTTGGTGGGACTTACATACTAATACATCCGAAAGATATTGAAGATGCTCTGATAGTCGAGGGTTTCACTAACGTTGATGTAGGTGAGTTGTTATTGCTCTTGGGAGTATTTTTGCGTTTGTCTGCTTCAGCTTTTGATTTCCTTGTGAATTCTTGTCTTTTGTCTTTCATCTCACAAATAATTTTGGGCTTGCAAGAAGGCTCTGATCATGAGCTGTTGATGCTTGGCTGATATTCAAGCCCTATACTAATATGTGCCAGTCATTCATCTGTACAATAGAAGTTTTTGTATTGCTATTATCCTGGTGCACATCATCATCTTTATGCGTAGCAAGATTTGTCAGCTTATAAAACACGATTTTTTGTTTGTGATGTATTTATAGTGGACAAACGAGATATCATCCAACAAATGGATTTCTGTGTGCTGTAGAAGATGCCTGTCTCCCATTGGTGAAGGTTTTTATTCAAAAGCAAATCTATCAAATAAGATGCAAGGCAAGTACATGGCACGTTAATCAAATTGAGATGATAATATTGCTTTGTTAACCGTTCGCTCTTTATTAAGAGGCTGAACTGTTGGCTGTTAAGTTAAACAAACACTTGATCACAGTTGTGCTCGAAGAAGCAGGCCGGTAAGGTTATTCTCAATCCTTGTACATTACTTATATTTGATTACGGAAGTTTTTTGTAATTCAGTGTAACGGCATTTATAGACTGGATACCATCAAGTGTAGCTTTACCGCTTTTTTGGCAGCCGACTTTCTAGATGCTGCTAAAGCACATGCCACATATAAGTTCATTATTAAAGGCATGATATCAAAGAGTCCTTACATACTGGTAAGAACATAATCAGGCATAGAACATGCAATTGATATAGCTACATTAATAATACTGGATATTGTTAGGTATGGCTTTTTGATTGGGACACAAAAGTGATGACAAACGCGCTCGAGGGAGTGAAATCGTTATGGATGTTCTCACGTGATATTACTGATGACATTGACAGTGTTATTCCACAACACATGAAGATTACCCCAGTTATGAAGATGCTTTATATCGATTGTACCAACCAAAACGATAGCGCACGTAGTCTTATGGCCGCTTGGGTCCATGACAAAACAGTCGAATGTCTCGTATACCATGATGATATTTGTTTACAGTTACTACTGTTATTACATGCCAGTAATTGTTGCCTTGCAGAGAGTAATCGTGTGATGAATGGATTTCGTGTTGGATTCATGGAGCACAACAAGGATCAAGAGTAGTAAATATGTAATGGTATCCTCGTCACGGACATAGGATACAGTTGGTTGTAAATGAGGGCGCAACAGTCTATTAATCAGGTCGGTAAATATAACGGATATTGATCTATTGCTACGCTTTTAATTCGCTCATTAAAATGGCTGTTTATTATGATGTGATTTTTTTTGTGCCAAGCAATTGTCAGATTACTATTGATAAGTTATTAAATTAGTATCGGCTTCTGCTTTGCGAACACCATTTAAATTTTCTAGAGACGACATTATCTAGAACACTGTCCAACAACATTAAAAGTTTTTAGTCTTGATATTAATAATTGGGAGACAAAACAACACATTCTCAGCGAGAGGAATTTGACAAACGTGAGCATAAATAACACCGCAATGAGTCAGGTCTTGACGATTTATTCAATTATCTTCCCGTTTTTTAACAAATCAATAATTCATTTCGTCACCAAGACAAACACGTTAGTGAATCAGTTCAAGTATAAGTTTACGTGATTTATTAAAATGACGTAAGAATTTGATCTAGCAATAATATCGATGGAAACTCCCAATGGGGTATGTGGGATAACCGAGCAATTAGGTTTGTATTACATCGGCTCAGCTGAGGCATGTTACATCAATCCTTGTTAAAACCGATGGGCCGTTGTCCTATTAATAAAAGTAAACCGAACACACGGTAAAGTACCAATGCTTATTTTAAATAAAATTTTTATTCGTTTGTAGTACAAGACATCTTTTGAATTGGCACTATCGGACTCTTTCACAACTTCAGTTGCAAAGGATTCAGCGATCGGCCGACTTATGCAAGAATGGACTTGGGCAAAATGTGCTACGAACGACAACGATAATACATGTAGAAATGATCCAAGTCAGGTTCACAATGAGTTTGTCAATGCAGGAGGGACAAGCACAGTCTCTTCGCACGATTTAAAGCTGGGTGGATCCATGTCAGAAAAACGTTGCCAAAGTCTGATTGAATCGCTCTCATATTAATACTACCACAATGGGGCTAGTCAGGTATTTTCATCATGACAATGCAAGCACCACATAAGCCATTAATTAGTAACCGAATGTTTCAAAGTAACCGCATTCTTCAATATAATCCAGATCTTACTCCTTGGGATTCTTTTCTGATTCCTTCAAATCCAGAAAACACTGAAGGAAAAAGTTTTAATGTGAAAGTTTGCAAGTAGTCCTTGACGTCATCCCAAAAGCTGGTTATGAGAATCCTCCCAGATCGTCCGCAATTGCACAGATGTTAATGGAAACTTTTGATTAATTATCAAAACGAAGAATTAAACGACAAAACTTTCAGCAGAAAGAAATGGGATTCCATCTACACAGACGACTTAATACGGTGTTAGTGTTGATGATGTCAAATTATTATTGCAGATTTCTCAAACGGGGTTCGCAGAGCTCTAAACCACGCACACACAAGTTGAAAGTCACAGGGATTAAAAATCGGCCGAGACTCGAAACACGAGCCACCTATTAAGTTTTGTTTTATTTCTGCTGGAAGTCTCACCCATAAGACTACCAAAAGCTATGTTATGTTATAGATGGTTAACAATATGTTTGGTTATCCCGTCAAATATGTGAACCGTCCGTACCCTCTTTTTACTTTGCACACCAAATTTATCAGCCTGGGAATGCCAACATAGGAAAACCATTTTTTAATGTTAAATCGTGTGATGAATAACGAAAATGTGCAACGTGCTTAACTATAGCTTTTCGTCTCCTTAACCATTATGCCTCAAAATAGATCTAGTTGTTTGCGTGTACTGGGAATGCCAGTCGCCGTTATCGAGATGATCAATACATCGAAAGGACCACATGATGTTTACTGTCTTTGTTTAAATTAGTCATGATCATCCCGTTCTGCGAGCCAAACAGCCAATAAACTTTGTTGAATTCGGGGACAATGTTTACCTAATTGGTCTGGGGGCGAGGGAGTCAAGTACAGCCTTATTACCCTTCCCCCTGTTAATGTATAATAATACCGTGCTAACAATAACGCTAACAACTAACAATACGTTCATAACTACCATCTCTATCGCTTGATTTACATATCCACATTCTATAATTGTGATTCCATCAGATCTGATCGCACCACTATTACAAATATTACACACATTATTATTCTAAAACTGATGAATGGCTGATTCAGTTTCGTCACACCAGCCCGAATATTTGTATATATATATAGACACCGCATACCTCGGTCTATTCTTTCATTTTTTTTTCTTTCACTCCAACTCCCCTCCCAAAAACCAAACCACTATTCTCTAAATACAAACTTCCGAAAAATGGCACACACACCGTCGGGAGGAGTGCAGCTTACGGAGTTCGTCAAAAGACCTGGTCTTGGCCGTGAAGGACGTCCGCTCAAAGTCAGAGCAAATTTTTTCGAGGTGCTCACGCTGCCACAACAGGACTTGCACCACTACGACGTAACTATAACGCCGGATGTCCCCCCGGCTTTGAACAGGCGTATATTTCAACAGTTTGAGGATATGTTTCGCGCCGACCTTTCAAATATAAGGACCGTGTTTGATGGTACGTTTGCTGATATTTGACCAGTAGTTGTATTATGTAGGTCACGTGTTTCTTATACGAGCGCGACTGATTGTTATCGGTTTGCTCGGGTGCACCGTTTACTTGATAGCCTGTGACAAGGGAGAGCGCATCTACGTTGTTTGCTGCTCGTGTTTATCGCCTTTTGACTTTTAGCACCCTTTTACTTTAAGACACGCGTCGAGTTTATTTGACTACATACCCGTCTCTAACTTGTACTCATCGTAGGTCGCAAAAATATCTTTGCGCCGAAACCTCTGCCCTTTGGCGACGCGCGAACTTTCGAGGTGAGGCTAAATAACTTATTAACTGTACATTATTTCAATAAAGACAACATATTTAGTTATGCGACGCGTTTGCGTCAAATTTAGTTAACTTTACCAGAGGACGATGGCATAACGAGCTCAAAGCGTCCGCCGAGGAATTTTGTCCTCAAGATTAAAAAAGCGGGCACCATAAGAATGGAGGTGCTCCATCGATTCCTCGACAGTAAACAAGGTTTGACGAACGACTGTCTTACTGGTAAGGGTCAACTATCCCCGATGGTATCTATTCCGTGTTATATATTCATAGTTTTATCTGATAATTACATTTTTATTTCAGCAATTATGGCACTTGACGTGTTGATTCGGCACAAGCCGTCAATGGAGCATACTACGGTCGGTCGGTCTTTTTACACGCCGCAGGGCTCCAAGCCCCTATTCGGTGGGGTCGAAGTTTGGCAGGGCTATTATCAGTCCGCGCGTCCTACGCCGCGTATGTACTCTTAGCTGTTAACCTTTCCTTGGAAGACAATTTTTATAATTTCTGTATTTTACTTTCTTTACTACAGGGAAGATGATGATAAACATCGATTTGAGCGCTACCGCTTTCTATGAGGGTGGGCAACTCATCCAAATGGTTGCCAAGGTGTTGAATAAGCGGAATGTTGATGAATTACGGAGAGGTTTAAACGATCGTGATCGTGTTAAGCTGGAGAAAGCGATCAAAAATTTGAAGATATGCGTGACGCATCGAGGCGAGACGACCAAAAAAAGAAGATTCAAAATTATGAAGCTTACACAAACGCCGGCCAACCATACAAATTTCGATGCGGGCGATCAAGGAGGTACTATGGATGTTGCCACCTATTTTAATAGGCAATATAATACACGTTTGGGTTTTGCGGCGTTGCCATGCGTAGTCGTGAGAAAGAACGTCTTCCTACCCATGGAAGTATGTGAGGTGATTCCGGTAAGTGATGCTGCTCACTGACCAATGTCTTGCGGATTCGCAAGTTTCTAATCCGACTATTTATGAAGGGCCAACGACATATTAGGAAACTTAATGACCGCCAAACAGCGGACATGATAAAGTTTACATGTCAACAGCCGCAAATGCGGGCGAATAAGATTCGACAGGGCTTGGACATACTTAATTATAGGGGCAATGAGTATATGCAACAGTTTGGTATGCGTGTTGCAACGGACATGACCGTAGTAAGTATACGTGTTTTTTCTATGGTGCTTCCCTCATCGATATAATCTTCTAACGTTTACTATATTTATTAGGTTGATGCGCGAGTACTTCCGGTACCCACGCTTAATTATCATGCATCGTCAACTGACGCGTCTTTTGTTCCAAATGGCGGTGTTTGGAATCTTAGGGGCAAACGCGTGGCAACTGGAGCCACGCTTGGTTCTTGGGCAGTTATCGCCTTTGATCGGGAAGACGACCTGCGGATGAATACGATCAAGGGCTTCATTCAGGAATTGACGGTGACTTGTTCGGATACGGGCATGGTTAGTAAAGCAACATACAACTTAATCGATATTTGTTAGACCATTAAAAAAACTTTTTTTTCTTTTCCTTCAGAATATTATGAACAAAACGCCACCCATCATGCACGCCAATCCCCAAGGGGACATTGAGAATGCGCTGAAGCAAGCATGGCTTCGCGCTGGCAATGCCGCTAAGGCACAACCACAACTCATATTGTGTATTCTGCCGAATACTGGTGTGCCGCTCTATGCGGAGATTAAGCGAGTGAGCGATACAGTAATCGGTGTTGCAACACAGTGTGTCCAGAAGAAGCACACTTTGCGTCCGAACAAACAATATTGCGCGAACGTCTGTCTGAAGATAAACGTTAAACTGGGGGGAATGAATTCATTTTTAAAAGCGACCGACATCCCGTTTATCTCGGATAGACCGACGATTCTTATGGGTGCTGATGTAACGCATCCCGCGCCTGGTAAGGGATTAATTGATTGTAATACTAAGTAACTGCTGAAATTCTAATCTGCTGTTGTTGGTGCTGATAGGAGCGTCAAACAACAGTCGACCGTCTATTGCGTCTCTGTGCGCTTCCATGGACGCGAAGGCGTCACGATACGCTGCGTCAATCAGGGTCCAAGCGGGTAAGGAGGAAATAATCGTCGATTTGGCTAACATGGCCAAAGAATTATTGAAGACGTTCTACCAAACATGTGGAAGAAAACCGGAACGTATTCTATTTTATCGCGACGGTGTATCGGAAGGGCAATTTAGCGCCGTATTAAACAGCGAGATAAAAGCCGTAAAGGGTAAGAATTCCGATAGTTATATTCATCTCGTGGGGTTAATGGCTTCTGATATATATTGATTTGGTTGGTTTTTTTTTTTTTTAATAAAGCCGCCTGCACGGCGCTCGACGCGCAATATAAACCAACGATCACATTTGTTGTGGTACAGAAGAGGCATCATACTCGGTTCTTCCCTATGAATAAGAACGAGAGTGACCGAAGTGGCAATTGTCTGCCGGGGACGGTCGTGGAATCGACAATCATCCATCCGACGGAATTTGACTTTTGTAAGTATTGAACGCATATTTTCGTGAAGAGTTCAAACCTGAAGTAACCATCAACATCGTATTTCGTTACTTCAGATCTGCAAAGCCATCCGGGACTGCAAGGCACGAGTCGCCCGACTCATTACCACGTCCTATACGATGAAAACAATTTTAACGCAGACAGGTAAGTGCTATCACTGGCTCGTGATTTGCATGTTATAATGACTGCGTCTTTCTGAACTATATATTATTATTTACAAACAATACAGTCTACAAACGCTGTCCTATAATTTGTGTTATTTGTATGCCCGCTGCACTCGAGTAGTCTCTCTCGTAAGTACTAGTTTACATTTCAATTATTTATAATATGTCTAGTCGCTTATACTGTGACTTACACTTGCAGGTGCCTCCCGTGTACTACGCGGATCTCGTTTGCTCTCGAGCAAGGTTTCATAGTCGGGGGGAAAATTGGTCCGATACAGAGTCGTCCGAAGAAGGAACGGGCTCCGCCGCGAGTTTTGGGGTCGTCAAACCTGACCTCCAAAAGGTACATGTTTTGTTCGTCTGATGCACATTTTATATTATCGATACTGACTGTGGTCTCTTGTAGGTGATGTACTTCATGTAAAGAAGACGTAACCTTATATATCCACGCTATACCCTAATTGACTTCTCTACAAACCAATAGATTAGTAGTGTATGAGATAGCAAGTTGCTTTAGTTTTTTGCTTGTAGAAAGTCTCGCTTTTTTTTTTTTAATATTGCTTGTGTACAGAAAAAAATTGTATGAAATAAAAATGGACATATTTCATCCAGAAGTAATTTCACGTGACGTTATAAGTAGGACCCTGGTTTTGGATTTGGTTTTGATACAGTTTTGACCTTTCCCCCCCCGATGAATACTGTTGTTCTGCCGTATATATATCTCTCAAAAATTCCATATGGTCAAGCGCTACGTCTACAGAATCACCTCGTTCAAGCTAGATTTAAAACACGTGATGCTATGAAGAAGTCACTAAACGGTAACGAGCATTCGGCGACTGATTTGCTTATATTATTACAACATCCGTATACATACACATCAGGAAGAAGAGACAAAGGGAGAACTTCAAAGGATGAGGAGAGGTTACGAAGGCTTGGGGCCGATTATTATGAGGTGTCATCTGTTTATCATCTTTGTATATTAAGCATTTGAGACTGACAATGTAGTAGACTTTAAGAGGCGGACAAATGACATTTCACGGACCCGGTCAATTAGTTGGTTATCCTATTCTGGATTTGAACAATTACGAGGTACATTAAATTTACAAGGTAGTTCGATACTGACCAGGTTCATTATTTTAATGCTTAACTTTCATCTTGCTGTTCCAAGCTATCTGTCAGAGACTACGTTGCAGCCATAGAACGCACGATTATAAACACTTGCGCTGAATTCGACATAGACGCGAAAGTAGCAAAGGATACTGGCGTTTGGGTTGGAGATGAGAAAATATGTGCAATCGGTATTGATTAATTGTTTGTTACGCATGATGTGTAAACGATTACACCTAACTGAATGTTAATCAGGTATTCAAGTCCGACGATACCTGACGATGCACGGGTTTGCTCTTAACTGTAATAATGACATGAGATGGTTTGAACACATTGTCCCATGCGGGTTACAAGACAAAGGAACAACGTCTATCTCCCTAGTGAAAAATGAAGAAGTTACTGTTGAAAAAGTGGTTCCAGTATTATGCAAAAATTTTGGGCAGGTATTTTATAGAACAGTCAAGCCACTTGCCACGGTGAGAGATTCGTTTGGATACCTTATCGAGTTGCTCGAGTCATCTAATATCGTCAACGTACCATTGCAACAAGAGGACTAGTGGTGAAAATGCGCTACTATTCATCAAACAGTTTATATTTCATCGAACACCCGTTACACTTTGTATCAAAGCACTTGATTCAATTAATAATTATCTTGCTTCGTATTAAATATCAAATGATGGATGTTCTAGTATATAACCTTTGGAACGTTTGAAATACTTTATCATCGGTCTATTTATATGAAATACGGTTATAGTCCAAATTAAGTCTATTCTAAATCTTTTGCAAGTCCCTTATTGTTTTTGTCCACATTCATCGTCCTTCCTGCTCGGCTGTTCGGTCTATTGAAACCTGTAATCCCTCCCATCGAGCCCATATCCACAGACGAATGGTTGCTATGATACCCAACACCGCTACCTCCAACAGGTTGTATTGAATTACGCGGCGACGTTGTTGAAGGAAAGTTATATGCCCTTGGTATGGTTGATGATGAATAAGATGATAGAGATGTCAAATGAGTCATGCTGTCTAACTGCCCAGAATCCGGAGTCTCATACTCAATAATATTATCCTCATTATTAACATCGTTCTTCCATACGCCACCGAGCAGTAGGGATGGAGTGGATCGAGCACGGGTCGATGAATATCCTGGATTACCATTGTTACTATTACCGCTCATTATATTAATGGTAGTCGAGCTTGCGTTACGGGATTGTAATCCGTTCAGAGATAACAAGCCTGGCGTTGATGCTGATAAAACCTCAGCCTCCATAATGCCCTCGTGTGGACTACCCGGAGCAACGCTATCATCGCTCAACCTCTTCTTCGGATATCTAGATTGAAATACATTCTCGTTCACAGAAGTTTGAGACTCTTGAATACCGCTTCCTGCATCTGTTGGTCGAAGATGGATGTCATCTTCGCCGGATATTCCACTCCCAAACACATGTTCAGTAGAATCGGCCCCTTTTTTAGAGGAAAATGGTCTAAATTGTGGCTTGAACCGATTAATCCATACTTTCATAACGATATGCATCATCTTTACGGTGTTTAATATACGCCAACTAGGAGCAGAGTTAGGAGATGCAAATTGTCCGTCTATAATGCTATAATCGGAATTGTCTCGCCTGCATGGCGATGAGAAGCACGCATGCAAACATGAAAACATCCTCCTCCTCACATTTCCATTTTTACGGAGATAGAAGAGGACTCCGCTTGTAAACAATACCAGCAGAAATATCAACATCACAAGGATCTGACGTTCAGAATGTGGGTCGCGAGGTGGAGTTGGAGGAGTTGGAGATGAAGGTATTGAATGAGATACTTCCATTACCATCATACCTAGTGTCCAGCTTACTTGTATCTTATTAACATCCTTGACACTCCGGAAGAGTGGGTTATCTTCACCAAAAGCATCTACTTCATTGTCATTAGGAATTCCAATTCCATCATGCAGAAAGTTCACTAACCATGCAGATTTAAAACATTGCATCTCTAACCGCTGGATATCAATGTCAGGATATTTCTCCAAGATGTCATCCCAATTTAATGAGCAGTAGTCAGCCGCCTTCTCTTCAAATGCTTCATAATTCCATTCACCTCCTAACTTAAGAACGTCATCAGCAGTATACCAGTATTCAGATATACCGACAAACCGGTTTACGGAGAAGTCTATGTTGGGTGCGTGAACTCCGTTAAACAAGCAAGGTGGATCGTTACAAGGTACTGTCTTGTTTAGCAATGGAAACGTTTGCTCAAGACAATCCCTAAAAGATCCAGTTCCTTGAAAGGCATGATACGGAGGAGGACGAGATGTATCTGTGAGAAGTAAATTTTTCGGTATACAAGGATCCTTGATTATTGTGATTATCTGTTCACGTGCTGTTCCCGAATTCTTGACCTCTGTATGAGTATTATTATGAGTATTATTATAACTGTTAATTTGCATCTCCACATATCTTCGACGGGCCTCGTTAGTTCCAAAGCCCAGAAATGTTGTGACAAACACGTAATAATCTAATTTCTTCTCATCAAGAGTGTAAAGAGTTACATTTTGCAAATCCTCTCGATGTTTTTGAGCCTCTAACGAATTAGGTTCAAATGCGATTTGTGCACTAGCGCCACCCATATCTAAGAAGCCGAAGGTAGTAATATGTTTGTTGGCTCCTGAAAGATCTTGAACGCCACGAGGCGTAGAATGATCAACATTATCGGTAACAAATCCTCCCAATTTATAATTTACGGCAAGCCAGCCGTATATTCCTTCCATTACACCCGAGATGACTTTGATCTGGTCTCCACATTTGTCCAATCGGAAATGATAATAAGTTCGAATGTAAGCACATGCACTATCTAAAATTTGCCTTTGCTGTTCATTAGTTAGAAGACGCATTCCTGCTGTAGCGAATAAATATACCGGAGTATCGGCAATCTTATGCTGTGGGATGACTTCAAGTGCAAAATCCAACAATTGTTTAAGATGATGATCCCCAACATCCATCGGTTTGTCGACAAAAGAAGATATCCCTAAACGACCGAATTGATTGTCGGAAAGGTCGTTGTTAGTTGTGAAAGTCCATAAGTTTCGAATTAACATAATTCTTACTAAAGTAAAAGAATGGTTTGCTTCATGATTTGGCGTAAGTTCTATATTACCAATTCCATTCTTCAAAGTGTCAGTCAACCATTGACTAAACCCTCTGATAAACTACTATCAATTAACCAAAGCAGAGTAGGAAATTTAAATGGAGCCAAATGACAAACTCATTTCATACCTGGTTCTACTTTAGACTGCCATTTCTCCCCTAATTCGTCTGCAAGTTCGATGTTCGGAAGAACATGAAGAGATTTGTCGTTCTGTTCGCGCACAAATCTATGGTCTTTCCAAGAGTATATTTGTATTCTAGAACCAGAGCTGCCTGCGTCTATGACAGCGCCGTAGTTTCTGTTTGACTTCCAAGAACTTCCAACAGCAGGCATCAGAGCGTTGAGTCAAACACTTCACGGTGAAAGTTATTTATTTCTATTCGAAGACAATATAGAAATCCGAACTTGCTGCTATTTACGGTAGGTATCAACGTGACAAGAATAGATAGATCAACACGGTTCTATCCTTAGAGTCTAAATGCCACACACCAGTACATAGATAGACAACGATCGAGACGCAAAAAAAAAGAGAATATCATTTCCCAACTAAATAGTAACCAGTAGCGCACGATGACACAAGAGGATATTGACATTTCCGCCATAGTTGCTATGAGTGGTATATTTTCACACAATGTTCGCGAATTTATTGGTCACTCTTACTCCAAGTCAATAAGAACATAATGAAGTTGCTCTTATAATATTTCGATCATTATAATCCTTATCCAATTTAAAGGTTTAAATCCTAAATCCTCGCTATGAGCGTAACGTCAGAATTACTGTCCGAATCAAAGCGCTCCATTATGTAAATTATAACCTTTCGCTTAACAACATGATGAATGAAGTCTTGTAGTGATTTAGTGTGCGTGTATATGAATAACTATGTTACAACAAGGAGAAATATTTACATAAACCATTTAATACTAATCATTAATCATAACGACGCGACATTGCGTATATTAATATAGTGTAATTCTCATTTCTTTCAATTTTAGCGCTTGCTACAACTAGATTAAAGTAATCGCCACAGTTGCTAACTGTCTTGCGAACTTGTAGAAAGCAGAGTATTTATTTAAGCCAAGGGAAACCATCTCATAAAATAATAACCGTATCGAGCTACCTTTAAGCAAGCATGTGTCAATGTTAGTTTGACGCATGAAGTTTGTTTTCCTTGACTAACTGGCTCCCCATATGTTGCTTTTCTTGTGTCTTTAAGATAGTTTAACTCAGTCGATATATTCAGTCCGCGTCTTTTAATAATTACAAAGGGTTTGCCTTGAGAATCACTAAGAATAGTTCTCTTGAGGGACATTTTGAGTCAACGCTCTAAACGAATAAGACTCCATCATTCATAAGGGACTCCCATACGCGATTATGAATAAGGCTGCGAACCCATATCCGCCCCATTACTCGCTGATATATGCAGTTTGTGATTATGTCATGGACAAAGATAACGCAGCGTGACGATTTACAGTTTTTGTACTGTTTGTAGCCACAACCAAACGTCTCCCCTTATATGATAAAATGGAGTCTCTTCATGAAAGTTTACGGCACATTTTACCAGTACTGATAAGTAAACTCACGCCACTATTGCGTCTTTGTTCACGTGTGGACTCGAAAATCGCTTGCACGTGTAGAGTATGGAAATGGAGGTGTAAGTATACTAAAATTATAAAATGCTGATGCCATTTTTTCGCTAATGCTAAAGAGGCAATTAATTTTCTGGTTTATTCATGTACTGCACAATCAAATCGCTTGCACTTTATATGGTGCGCTGAAATTTCAATTTTCTCTTATTTGTATTGCGACCCGTTCTGCCATTCTGAGAACGGGTCAGCCCGTTTCAAAAATTTTCCGACATTATCACATAAATTGTGCACTTTATTGGTGCAGTAGATTATTCTAATGTGACAATCCCAAATCCAAGAACGGGTTATACATTTGTTTATTTGTGTACATTCTTGGAACGCTCAGAGCTGATGATATAATTTTTAGACTTGTGCGGTCTCTCATGTTCTTGCCTTTTTACTATTCTCTTTTAGATTGCTACTTATCTCGTAGTTGGAATTCCCAAATTTATAAATATTCGATAACTTATATTCTACTAGATTGTATGTGTTTAAGCGCGCAAATGCTTAATTTGGGTTACTTAACTGAAAACGGTTTAATTTAATGTATAAGCATTAATCCACTCGTTTGAGCAGTAGCATTTTCTAAATATTGAGAAAACAACAAGCTGCTTAGAAGCTATGTTACAATGTAAAAGAATTCGTCGTGTTTATCGTAACACATTGTTGACTGATATGGCTAACACTATTTTACTACTACTATTATTTTTTTCAAAATTGATGACTGATGTGTGTATATAAATAAGATTTATCCATAAAATATGATAAAAGTAAACACTATGCACAATTGCTAATTATGTAGGATATTGGCAGTGTGCGTGTTTGTAATGTGTAAGAGCTGAATATCTAATTATTATATCCAATCATACTTGGTATAAAGTTACTTTTTCTTCCAAGTGTCATCCAATGACTCCTTGATGGGGAACAGTTCAGACTAAATAACACATGCCAACGATTGAAATTTTTCACGGGTGGGTAATGGGGAAATGGTATTGTAAGAAGCATGAGCACTTTAGCGAACAGCGAACTTCGTATGTATCTATTTACTCGACAAGGCCTGCTGACATATTGCTCAATTTATAAAACTAAAAGCAAATGCAGCAAGTATGCAAGTTTAAAAATTAATAATATGCCTTTCTTATCAGGACAAGTAAATGAAAACTTTCAAATGTGAGGAAATGAACCAAATTACCAAAATGTATAAAGATTCATTAATAGCAAGCTAGAAAGTGTTTATAAGATATGTAAAACACACCAAAATACCGTATTTCTCCGACACGTACGCCGAATTTTGATTATACTTGATATTCCCCCATATACACAGTAAAATTTACCTTTACGAACACTCACTTGAACGAAGATGGCCAATAACGGATAACAAAGACTTATATGTAAATTCAGTATAGCGATATAACAAATTCAAAAACCCTTGTATTATACACCCACTTAGGCAAATTTATTTGTATAACGGAGTTCGTCATCCATCTCAATATTTCAATATATCATCAATAAAAATTTAAAGCTTTCACATCATTGCATCTTCTCAGTTACTTTCTATTGAAGTTGTAAAAGCATTCTCCTGTTTGTTACATTGTTCCTTCCGCTATACGGTTGCAAGAAGCGAAAGAGGAACATGTGAAGAAACTAGAGAAAAATGAGAAAGAATCTTGATTGACTTTCAGGAAAGATGGGGAAAAAATTACGGTTTATGCTTATCAACCAGAAATTTTAGACAATTTGATAGCATTAATAAACTCGATATTTTTTTTGGTTGTCCCTTACTTCGTGAGGAATTGCTTACGCAAGAAAGTTTTGCAGAAAAAGAATTTACGATTACCTTTAATCTTTGAATAATTTTGCATTGTGTGTATTTTGATCAAATTTTTATTGACGAAATTGCGGATTAACAAATTTTCAGATTACCGAAACTGCAGAACGGATGTTGTATTTCTCTTCTGTTAATAAAGACAGATATTGGAAAATCAATAAAAATATTGACTAGCGCTCAAAATTAGAATAATACGAAATGGGGTTTTAAAATATTTATGCCAACTTTTCACCGTCAATATTATTAAATTTGGTTACCACATATTTTTACTCTATCGAACAATTAATAAACAGAGTTACGTTTTGCCCAATCATGATTATGAATTATCTACAGCCAATGACGTAAATCGAGATATGTACCCACTATCAATGCATCCTCCCTATACGAGTACTCTGGGTCTAAATGAACAACTTGGCTTAGTGCGTCAGGTTCGGTGGAGATAAATAAACATGTATGTAACTTTTAAGTTTATAATGAAATATTAATATCTAAGTATACACGATAACATGACATTATCATTTGGTCCGCCACCCAACGTGTTTAATTTTTTATACAATTTTATTTCACCAATATATTGTGTAAAAAAGTACAAGAAAAAATAAAAAGAAAGAAAAAGAAAAAAAGATAATAAATGAGAAAGGTATAAACAGAAATAATATGACAAAAATGTAAAAAATAAAGACAACCGTACTGAGAATGCGAGGCACTATTACACCTACACCTAATTCTTCAAAAGAAAAAAAAAACAATTTTAAATTTAAATGCTAATAAATTCCAATAATGTCCATATTATGCTACTGTAATTTTAAATGCCTATAAAATTTTGGCCAACCATAATATCTGTCTCACAACGAACCATCACCTGAATCGAATTATATGTCATCGTAAAGATAAAAAAAATAAACATAAATAAGTTTTTAAAGAAAACAACATAATAATAATCTTAGTTAAAATAAATATTGTAAGAAAATTATGTCTGTAAAATCTTAAAAATTTAAAGCATATATAATGTGTATGTAGCGTCTTGGTATTTTGTATATAATAAAATCATTGTGAGACAACCACTAAGTAAACAACAGACATTTCCCTTGAATGTACATAACCACTCGGATAGACCTCGACTTCTCAAATTCGAGAATATTAACAAATACAGGAAAAAAAGAAAAAAAAAAGGAGAAAAAAAAATAAGAAAAAAGAATAACAAATAAGAAAAATAGCAACCAAAGATTTGATAAATATGTTGCAATTAGACCAGCTGCGCAACTCTAAATAAAATAATTGTAGTTCATGTAAGCGCAATTGTAATTACGTTATAAAAAGTAATTAGACAGTTCAAAAAGCGAACGTACCTTAAGCAGCATTCCCGAGGGGAACGCGTTTTTAATTTCTTTGATATTAGAAGCCATTCATTTTGATATATTACATAGTAATACAGTAAGTAATAATCTTCCTAATAGGATTAAAAAAAAAGTTGCAATCTGTGAGCGAGAAATGTTGGAAGTTTTGATAATGGGTAAAATATACGTGCATACTTGTTTAGACCAATTTGGACGCATCACGATCTGATTAATAAAATTTCGTTTGTCAAAGTAAAAATTTGAGTAAAAATTTGAGTATTAATTTTGTTTATATCAGACTTTTGCTTAGCTGATGAGATTTCTCTACGTCTTTCCGGCTTGCCTTTAAATATCTTCTCAGCGCATTCTTCCCGCGCTTTTCCGCCAACAGTAGTTTAGGTCAACATGTTACTATTGTTCCGATACTTAATTTTAAAATAATTGTATTACTCGTTAAATGCAGTTAAAGTTTTTCACCAGCATTTTCCCGCCATTATTTTTAGCACTTCCATTGTTTAGCATAATCAATGTGTCAACAAAAAATTAGTGTTCGGTTACTCTATTGTTATTTTGGCGGTAAAATATGAGGCTTTGTTTACACTTCTATTGAAAGAGAACAATAGGATTACAAGTTAAATATACAGTACTGAATTAATTTAATTTGAATACATCAGACCGTATTGTGTGTTTATTTTAGTTACTAATAAATTAACATTATTTTTTTATCCGGAACTATTACAATATGACGCGAAACAAAGCTATATCTTTGTTTGTGGATTACCCCGAAAGTAAAATCGGCCTACTTTTTTTGCATACTTCTTCCCATTGTCACCGAGACGATATGTCGTACGAGCCACCAATTTGTCCAAACAAATTTCCTTTCTTTGTCGTCATTACGACAGTACACTGCTTGAGATACTCTGAAACCACCAGTTTCTCCTGCATGACTCGGCTTAGTAAAGACAAAATTTAATTAATTCCTTATGCGGTATCTTTGATGTTTGAATGAGGGATTTTATGAGTAAAAGATGACCCGAAAGTACGGTTAATATACTATAATAATACTAGAAATAGTAATGTATTGGTCGGTAAATAGCTTGATGATTGGCCGTAAATAATCCATTAACTGTCAAAAAAAAATATATATTAAACATATATCTAGTACGTTAATAGTAAAGCTAAATTTTAACTGTATAAGTCCATCACAAAATGTATTACATTTACAGTATTCGGCTCTTGAACGTCTCTACAAAGACATTGTTAATCGATAGCTTCCAATAATAGTCATCTTCGACCAAACTATTTACGGGGTATTTAATTATCGCACATACATTTGTCTTAGTTAGTTGACGATGCCAAAATTCATGTATTCGGCGAGATCGTGCAATTAGCAAATGTGCGGATGTGTGCGATTGTACACCGTGCCTATAGCATTTCATACAGAAATCTCCGAATGTAGACGAGTTTATTATACAGTTTCCGTAATTCATATATGATAATTTGGTCTCACATGCTATGATACATATACTCTAACAGTCAGGGTTAATGATGCATGTGCCTCGACATCAGCACTAGGTCGATTCACCCACGAATATTCGTTAGTATAAGATAAAGAACCCTTGACTCTATTTGTAATCCAAGCACAAAGACGATCTGGCCAATAAAATTAACAAGGAAGCATTGTTCAATAAAAGGAAGTGATTGTCCATGTATGTCTTTTTATGGAAATAGACCGTTGTTATCGTCATCTCAACTCATGCGCATTGTTCACTTTTTAACAAACATATTTTATTTAGAACATATTCACAGGAAATGAGAAATACAATGGGAGAATTGCCGCATAATGATTATCATATTCATACAACACTTATTAGCATATATGATTAATATTAATAGCAATAGTCTTGCATGCAGTCGATTCATCGAAGAAGGCTTCTCAGTCTATACAAAAGACCGAATCACTTAATAAACCGTCAGTATTATTTTCTGTTATAATAATTGTTTCTGTTACCTTTCCGCACATTCCTTGGGGCTTTTCGTGCCGAGTTCTCTAGCAATAACAATCCATTTTGGTCCGTTATTAAAATACAAGACCAATAACATTCGGCTTTCCTGCAATAACGTTGATCAATCGGTAAAAGTCCACTATTCTCAAAATTGATAACAAGTAAGAATGCAATATCTCACGGCGATTGTCCACTGAACTCTCATAGTAAACAATTTCAAGTTAAATTCGTTCTGTTTTTGGTATATGACCAATATTAAGTTTGCCGCCCTTTTTTTTCTATTTATATCTGGTCTCAGCCGCAACCTTACATCACATGTATATTAACGTAATAAAGTATGGAGACATACATGTTTATTGGACGGATTATATTAATATAAACATACATGCATGGCTCTGTGCTAAAGGATCGTTGCTACCTTGTCTTCCTCGTCAATAACTATTGCTGCAAATTCGGTTCAATAATGGATTTGTCACACAGTCATATCACGCCATTATGCAAAGCGATAATCGTAGTACAATGACCGACAATGAAACACGTCAACTGTATAACAAGGCTTTGTCTTTATTCATCTACACCTAATGTTCGACGCTAGTACTACTAAGTATTAGTGTGGCGACTAGATGGACCGAAAAACTTGAGACACGACTGAGACAAATTACTTCATTTTCGACAAACATAATCGCACAGCATTGATTGCAAATACAGCGTACAAAAACCAAACAACATCAACACAAAAAAATGATACCTTTTGTTGCTAAAAATAGGTGTTATCAAATCCAATGTTGTGTAGAGAGTTTTAACTTTTATTGGTATTATTAATCATATCGTCCCACTGTTGTAAAAGCGTTTTCAGACAATATTAAGAGGGCAAACACCAATAATTATCTCTAACTGTCATTACACACTTTTCCATTCGTATCAACAAAAGCATTGCACCCCTTTCTCTATGAGTTACATTAGCCAACAAACGCGCAATCATTAACCATAATATACTCCTTAATGTGTTTGACACTTCGTGAAGACAGAAGTAGAATTGATTGGTTGTTCTCGAGTTTGTGATAATTCCATCTTGCAAGTCAAGAAGAAATTGATATAATAAATAAGACATTTATGAAAAGAGAGTAACTAGAAGAAATTTACCAATTGTTTATTGATTAATGTATTTGCAATAACGGTATCAGTGATTACTATCAAATTGTGGATTGTGACTTATTTCTAGCGTTGCAATGAGACAAGTTGTTGTCTTAAAATAAATGAAGGATTAAAACTATATCTAACCTTGCAGAAATTGCAAAAAATATCAACCGACAACAAATATTCGGTAAAAGTTTGTACGATTACGTTATTCCGAACCATAACAGTCTTAGCAACTATAACGATAGTATGGTGACAATTTACACAGAGACCAAACGCGTTTCATTGCAGAACAATCTTTATTCGCGGTTACTAAGTTTCCGCATTAGGAGTTAATTAAATTTACACTTAGTTTTCTTGCAATTACTGGCAGTTCCCATGGACGTGCAAGGGATAGTTACCAGTTTCATGCGTTTCATACCATTTGGTTACCTCATAAAATGAAATAAGCATTTTGTTCTAGAACAAATGCAAGAGCACTGGATACGACTTACGCAATTGTTTATGAGCCGATCACAATGGGAAAAGCCGAGTGCGAGACAAGGATCTCTTTGTTCACGTCAAATCAGAATAATATCATTGTTAATTTCTAAACTTAGTCAGTGATGCAATCACATTGTTCATATTGTTTCTCTCCCATAACGAATACAAATTAATCTCATTGTTAATTTTGAAAATAACAATGACAGTATTTTGAGTTTTGTAACAGAAATCTAACTATTACAGTATAGGCGGGAAAACTATTACTTCAAACTTAATAATGACAAACGTTGGTCGAGCTGCCGCGAACAATAGTAACAAGTTGTAAGACAATTCTGGCGGAAGCGTGAAAGTACAGACTTTACATCTATTTAAGAGCATGGTGGCCAGAACGAGGAGCTAGCATCAACTCAAAAAAAGAATAAAATCTCAGACAAAATGCAAACACCTTGGCAACCAGAGGTAAATTTAGCTCATAATTTGATCTCGTCCTGTTTCTAAAGTATTAATTTTGTTTGCCGTAATCTTTAGGAGGATTTCATGCTTCTTAACTTGTTTCACACTGTGGGCGCCAATTGGCCCCTCCTTTCTAAAGAGCTTAAAACTCGCTCTCCGAGAGAATGTGCAATTAGGCATGCTTTAATTACTATTAAAAACACGCTTTTTTGTAAATTGGCTAATATTGTTGTTACTATTACACTAACATATACTTTTCTGTAAATTTAATAGGGTTCAGCAATTGCTGCCTATGTGAAGAACTATCTCGAGATATTCTGCATCACATCGTTATTCAACAAAGTATCAAACACCCCACATTTTTAATTCATGCGCTAATTAATATGCATTTACATTTATTGATAAGTGATTTCTTTATTTATGACGTTAAGATTAATTTGCGTATTAAGAAATTTTTTATCTTTAAGCTATAACTTCTTTACTTTATTTATATTAAGAGAGCATTGGAACTAATAGTCCAACGATATAGTCAGTATTACTGTAAATAGCTTTTTTTATTACAACTTTTTGGTTTTTATTTGGAATGTCTCTGCATGACTGTTGTCGGATTTTGGTCACGAATGCGTCTTCAAGATTTACTTATTTGTGTTTCTTATATCTGTTTAATTTATCTATATATCTTGAGCTTTTATATTATTTTTATCATTTTTGTTATATTAACATTATCAATTACAATGAATAAACTCGTTTACAATGAATAGACAGCCTCCTATGATTGACCAGCATAATAATTGCTTAGGAATTTGTCTCCGTAAAAATATTTTATAATATTTATTAACTTCATACTAATATCTATTTTACAATTGCAACGAAATTCTCTATTGGTTAGGAAAAGCATGCGGTTACTATGTCGCCGTTAATACGATTAATGCGACAATTACATTCAGCTTAGAGACGTTTATGGTGTACAATCTTGACTCAAGCAATAACTAGATTGTTGGGATGCTACGCGTAAAAAGCTCGACTTTGATAAGTAACTGTTATGTTCATGTACTAATAAAGGTAGCAGCAATAGTAATGCAAGTAGGCTTAGGACTAATATCCACATCAATTACTATTAAATAAAAATTGACAGTTACCGTATTTCACGGACTAAAGTACCTCTCCACTAGCAAATTGTAAAGTACCATAGTATAAACAATAGTGTTAAGTAATCATGGAATGACCATGATTGTAGTAGCTGACAACCATAATGTTTCTCTAGCTCACGAGCGAGACTGCTTATATGTAATTAATACGTGCAATTGTGCGCGCAAACATTTAAACACGTATATGTCCAACATAGCATGTCCAATGAAAAGACTATGTACATGCTTCTGTCATAATATTTTCCCAGTACAATACACCCATTCGATCAAAGCACCATTCGGTGTATAGTAGCTCATGGTATAACAGAGTTTTGTAAAATACCATTGGTAGTTTAGTCCGTAAAATATGATAACTTGTTCCCATCTAAGCGTTAGTTATTTATAGATTTGGCCAAGGGACATTGAATTGTATCTTAATTTGGTCCCGTGGAAGTAAACAATACATTGTGTGACATTGCTTATTAAAGATAATTTTGTTAGTACTGGTTAAAGCGCAGGTTTTCTGGTGCAACTTTAGCGTTTATTATGTCGACGCACAAGGCTAAAGTAACATGCTGTTAAATTAATTCACACACTGTTATTTTTCAGCATTTAGTGATCAAACTCCAAGTGTATGTTAAGAAAATAAAAGTATTAATTTAAAAAATATCGTATTTTGCGACTCAACTTTAACATCGCAATTTTATGTACTTTATTCAACACCATTAAATAATACACTAAAAATTAAATTAAATAAAATTAATTAGTTGTTTTGCACTTCTGCATGTTAAAATAAATTAGTTTGGTGTTGAAAAAGGTTTATGCATTTGTTGGCTGCGGGCATCTTTGAACCCGTTTGTTATTCTCTACCTTTTTTTGTTTACCATGCAGAATTATTAAATAAAAAGTCTAGACGCATTGAGTAAATATTTTAAGAAAACAATATTGTTTAATAATATACAACTTTTCGATTTAACTATTATTTGGGGCATAGTATTATTTGTATCTTCAAGAGTGCGTATTCAATAATCGAAATATGCTTACGAAAAATTTAATTAGTTTGACGTGTTTGACTCTTTGATTGCAACTGTATCAAAACTTAACCAATGCACTCGAGCAGTATTTTATCAAGACTAGAACAATAAAAAACGATCTTTTGTTGACAGTTGCTTGATAAGTGAAGGCCTTTGGGGAAAGCTTTACGTTAAATTTATTCAAATTTCGTTTCTTTCTTGGCTATTATGAGTTGAGGTTAATGCTCGTTCATTTTTCGTTCTTGATAAGTTCATGAGTGGTTTTTTCTTTATCTAGATACTCCTGGAGAGTTTGGGTATCATTGATTTTAAAAACATAGGGCCAATTTTTTCCTTGTTTTGTTTAAGAATGCTTCAAATAGTGCTGTAATTCTTGGTAAGTTTAATGTAAATTACCGTAAACTCTCATGAATAAAGGCCCCTCTTTATCATATAAGGGAGCTCTTATTCATGAGATGGGTTGGTTGTGGATTATTTGCATTGATTTTAAGCCACCAATCGTCACGTAACAGTTGTCCGCGTTTTTTGTTTATTACATAATCACGAGCTGCATACAGTATATCATATGATTTCGAACTCGCCTTTCTTATTATAATTCGCATTATTTGTTGTTGTTTATGATTATAGTTAAGCGTTCTCGCTATGATTAATCGTGTAAATGAAAGTAAGATAGTGAAAATGCTGAAGAGAAGAATGAACCAGCTATAGTTTACCAGAGGACGTTTGTGAAGATGAGGAATGGTAATAAATCAGCATTACTAAATAAAGTACAGTGAGACTCCTCTAAATGCATCTCCTCTAAATGCATAACTCCTCTATATGCATACTTTTGTCTGGTCCCAAGTTCGGACTTATCTGTTATTGCATACACCCTTTAGATGCATATGCATCGATTTTATAAATCTTTACATAGTATTCTAAATGCATAATCACGTGATATATTATCAGTTTTTTCGGAGGTTCATTTGCTCACCAACATTAGTATTATTATTTCGAAATATTCTTTTAGTTGTCAATGAAATGATATGAACCCAGTATAATAATGCATGTTACAATTAAGTCCAATCCAGTCTGTTTAATGTAAAAAAAATTTTCTTTATTTAAATGCCTGTTTCCTAAACCATTCACTGATTGCAACTCCTATTTTTCATCTACAACAAAATAATCACCCAAATTTTTTTGTACTAGTGATTTTACCTTCAATATTTCTAATACACGACCAACCTTCATTATATTGTCAACCTCTTTTGAATATTCACCTTCCTGGCCTAAAAAGAATCGCATTTAATTTGTCAAGTGAATATTTATCGGCAAATAAACATCCAATCAATTGTCTTTCCTTCATATCATGCGACTATCCTCCAAATGCATAACCCCTTGTAATGCATAAAATTTCTACGGTCCCGACAGTATGCATTTAGAGGAGTCTCACTGTATGTAAGAAAATGTGATTATCTGATACCATTTTGTCTTCATTCGTATTTGGTCATGGGTCGTTCGACTTTTTTTCGCACTTTATGAGATTTCCCAATCGAGTAATCTATTCACAAAAACATACAGAAAGGACGGACTATCGATTGAAAAGGATGTGCGTCTTGATTAAGCACTGTTATAGTAATAATAATTTTCAAGTGACAATGGCGCGCATGTAAAACCGCTTCACATCAAGAAGATATACGATAAATGCAAATAAGCGATTATTATTATAGTATCGGAATCACTCTAAGGGCAAGACAATGTCACTCAAAGCATAAAATATAACATTTCGAGTATACATGACATCATCAATATGGCTTTGACGTAGCATCAGAACAAGGACAGACTTGCACGATGCGTATAAGGGCCAAGTTACCTGCTTTCATACTAAATCCGATTGCCTATATCCCAGCAATTCTTAATAATGGAGCACCGCTAAAAATAGTCTTAATGG